GAGCTATGACACAAAATACATAATTTGGTTATGGCGGAAAGTAAAATGGTCGCCATGGCAACCACAAGGTGTTTTTGCGATGGCTCCATTTCTGAAAATGTTTAGGGCCGCAAACTATACAAGTGTACCAAGTTTCATGCTTTTATGAAAAAGTGAACATTATTTTCACATTTCACCTGGACTAATGTATATATATACATATATATGGGTCAAAGACATTAAGAAATTTACAAAAGTGATTTTATGTCCATAGAAAGCACATTAAATGTAAGTAAAGTGTCTACTTTTAAGGTTTCAAATAAGTTTTTGGAGAATAAAATGTCAAAATTTGGTTGAAATAATATTACATTGTAATTCAGTGTAACAATATTTATGTAAAAATTCAAACATGCTTATTCTGACGTGTACATATTAAAATATATAAAAGAATAAGGGAGCATATTTTGATTGTGTTTTAAATGAGTAAAAAATTCTTACTGACAAATGGGAAAACCTAGGATTAGGGCTGCCCTCGACTAAGGATTTTTCTGGTCGACCTAGTAGTCGTTCATTTTAAGCATTAGTCGACTAATCGCACGTTTATTAATAAACCATTTAAATCATTATAATGAGCCTTTAATTGCCTACATATAGGCCTGTCGCAATAATCAATATATCGACTTGTCGCGCAATATATGTACATGACCTCAATAATCATGGGCTATTTTTTAATGTAAACTGGGGGGTTGAATATTGGATTCCATTACACACACCTGTAAGCTGAATAAGGCGCAAATGAAACATATAGGCTATGCATACAAATAACTACTTGATAATCGTTTGTTGAGGAATGTATCAGCATGCGAAAGCAACAGATGGCATATTCATAATACAGTGCATACAAACCTATGCAAATGCATCTGGAGTTTACTCTCAGACAACGCGTGTCACTATCAGAAACAAGACTAAAATGCATCTGGTATAGAAATACCAGCTGCTAACTAATAATTAATAACATTAAAGGGGTCATATGATGTTGCTAAAAAGAACATTATTTTTTGTATTTGGTGTAATGAAATGTGTTTTATGCGGTTTAAGGTTCAAAAAACACATTATTTTCCACATACTGTACATTATTGTTTCTCCTCTATGCCCCGCCTTTCTGAAACGCGTCGATTTTAACAAAGCTCATCGGTCTGAAAAGCGAGGTGTGCTCTGATTGGCCAGCTATCCAGTGCGTTGTGATTGGCCGAATACCTCAAGCGTGAGACAGAAATGTTATTCCCCTTATCATACTGCGATGCCTTGTCCCGGCCGGAGCGACGAGACAAATACATTAAAACCCATTTTAAACGAGGCATTTGTTGCATCCAGTGGGGACATAATTAAGAATTATAATGACTTATACTGTCTTTTTACGCGTTGCATTGCATCGCGCCGCGTAAACATAACATAAAACCATGTCTGCATTTGCGATCGGAGAAATGACAAACAACAAGACCTACTCTACACTGCCCAAAAAACTCACGTTTGAATCATCAGTGGCAAATTCTTTAAATATAAAAAACGCCCTTACAGTCTGTGAGTCAGAACAGCCGGCATTGTAGTCTACTCTACCAGGATCAGGAAACAGTCCTCCATAAAATGCGCTGCACACATCTGAATATTTGGGTTGAACTGTTCTGGAACAGTGTTGTAAATACAACTTAACCACTGATTTGCAAAATTGAGCAAAAACAAGCAATATTATGTCTAAAATATGTCACTTATGCTTTACTGAACTTGTATAAAATGATTATTAAATGTGTTATCATGCTGATATCTGCAGAAAAACGGTACTCTTTGTGTGATATAGATTGTTAACTATATTAAATTATATAAATATAAAAAGCATTCAGAAGCATTTTTGCCATTTACAATTTCGAATGCCTGGAATTTTGAGTTTTAATAGACTAATAAATCACGTGCTTGCACTCTGTGTCATTTGGTGATATTCTCGTTAAAGTCAGATCGCACATCATGACAACACTTACCATATTATCGCAGACGATGAGAAATGTATCGGAGTAAAAGTATACATTTTAATTAGGAAATGTAGTGGAGTAAAAGTAAAAGTTGGCTGAAATATAAAAACTCAAGTAAAGTACAGATACTCCCAAAAAAAGAATTAAGTACTGTAACGAAGTATTATTACTTCATTACATTACACCACTGTTTTTTGTAATGTTAAAAGTAATATGTAAATCATGAATTATTTCTAAAATGAAATTCATTTAACCATCAGACAATGTTTATTACAGACTATTCCTAGTCATGACTGGATTCTTTTTTAATGAAATGTAGTAAAACTAACTTTACTAAAGTAACATCACTAAACTTGTACATTAAATTTTTTTTGTTTGTATTTAGACCTAACTGTAATTTACACCATTAGTTTTCATAAAAACATGTTATACTTTTTCTGCTTTAAAAACATACACCTCATTAAACTGAAACATTTGGAAAATATGTATTTGAAACACCTGCATGATGACATGAAGTAATTATAACCAGTAGGTGGAGGTAGTGATCCACATATGATAGACTAATCTCTGGAAACACAAAGTTCTAACAAACTTAATTTTTAAAGGGGTCATATGATGCGATTTCAAGTTTTCCTTTCTCTTTGGAGTGTTACAAGCTCTTGGTGCATAAAGAAGATCTGTAAAGTTGCAAAGACTAAAGTCTCAAATCCAAAGAGATATTCTTTATAAAAGTTAAGAGTCAGCCACACCCCCCTAAAACGGCTTGTTCTAACATGCCCCCACATATCTAGGTCACTAGAAGATTTGCATAATGTAATGCGCCCAAATGTGCACGCAAAGAAAGCATAACTTTTATTCTCGCTGTAGTATTGATGCCGCCGCCATGTTGTGAAGACGCTGTGTGTTTCGTTGTGA